CATTCAAACAAAGATATCTGACTTTCTGTGGGTCCTAGCTAATGAGTGTCAATTAGAAAGTTGTCCGGCTCGAGGAGTACAATTTACATACCGATTTTTGTAACTCTAGTTAAAACTAACAACCCCACTTTTGTCAAAAGGTGGCGCTACTGAGCCCTCACCACGCCCGTTTCTGAAACTTTGCACATGTCTACTGGCTAATAAATGTGATGTGTCTGTCGAGTTTCATGCGATTTGAAGCATGCTAAGGGTCTCAAAAGCATCCTAAAAGAATGGTAAAGTTTGATGCGTTGCCACGGCAACAGTTTAAAAGATATCAAGAATCCATTCACAGGTCTACATCTGCCGTATATTTACATTATACAGATTAAGTTTGAAGCAAATCGGGTAAAAATAAAAGGGTGATTTCAAAGCATTTTGAAAGTGACACACTTCCTGCTGCCAGTTGGTGGCGCTATAACTTTGACTCACAATAGTCACATCCATGTGATCGTCCTCTTACAGCGAACACACTGCTGAAGTTTCATCAAGATCAGTTAATGTATGCTGAAGTTATAACACACTTCCTGTTTCACGTTTCTCGCCATAATTTCGTTTCCTCGCCACGGCCAAACCGTTCGAGATATCAAAAATCCCCTCGCAAACTTTCATCCTCAATGCCTTGACTTCATGCTGACCGAGTTTCGTGCCGTGTGTTTGAATTCTCTAGGAGGAGTATTGCACATTCCATTGCGAGCGTTTTACAAACAAACCTCAATAGCCGACTTCCTGTTGGGCTGGGGTAAAAAGTAAAAGCGCGAGGTATAGATGAAACGATGAGATCAACATGTGTACCGAGTTTCATATTATTACATGCAAGCGTGTTTGAGTTATGGACCGAGTGTTCGGACCCCGTTCCAGGGGGCGCTGACGAGCCCCCCTGCCACGCCCAGGTACCAGCTTCAGCCCGGCTCTGATGGCCGCGGGTTCTGACCCGTGTGCAAAGTTTCAAGAGTTTTTGAGCATGTTAAGGGCTCCAAAAGTGCCAAAAAGGTAGTAAAATAATAATACTAAAGAAAAATAATCCTTAGGAAAACAATAGGGCCTTCGCCCTTTCAGGGCTTGGGCCCTAATTAAAGCTGCAAGCAGCGATGGGCGGGCCCTCGCACCTGTAGCGCGTCGGGTTGTGAGGCGGCCGCGTTGCATATTCTGGAGCTCAGCCGGTGCGGCTGTGAATTTGCTACGCTTCATTAAAGGTCACTTCCTGTTGCCAGCAGGTGGCACTATGACTGTTGGTGAATGTCGGCATGTAGATTTGTTCAGGACGGGACTCTTGTCAAATGTGTAAAATGTCTTGCAGATCTGGGCATTTACAGCCAAGTTAATAAAACTTCCTGTTTCATGGCGAATCATCGACGCCACGGATACGCCCATCGGCGAAAATGCGCAGATAGCACAACTTTACATCGTCAATCCCTTTAGAAGTCACAGGAGAAATGTGAAGTCGATCTGACTAAAGCCCTAGGAGGAGTTCGTTAAAGTACGTAATGAGTAAATCATCCAAAAATGGCGGTAAAATTAGAAATGGCCCACTTCCTGTTGAGTTTAGGGCATCACTCCAAGAGACTTTTCTGTGCGTCTAGACATGGTAGATGTACCACAGAAATTTCGTACATGTCGGTCAAACATGCGACGGGGGCTGCTTCGTTAAAGGTCACTTGCTGTTGCCATTAGGTGGCGCTATGACTGTGGGTGAATGTCGGCATGTAGATTTGTTCAGTGCTGGACTCTTGTGAAATGTGTAAAATTTCATGCAGATCTGGGCATTTACAGCCAAGTTACTACAACTTCCTGTTTCAAGGCGAATCATCGACGCCATGGACACGCCCATCGACGAAAACGCGCAGATAGCACAACTTTACATCTTCAATGCCTTTAGAAGGCACAGCAGAAATTTGAAGTCGATCCAACTAAATCCCTAGGAGGAGTTAGTTAAAGTACGTAATGATTAAATCATCCAAAAATGGCGGTAAAATACGAAATGGCCGACTTCCTGTCGAGTTTAGGGCATTGCTCCAAGAGGCTTTTCTGTGCGTCTGGACATGGTAGATGTACCACAGAAATTTCGTACATGTCGGTCAAACATGCGACGGGGGCTGCTTCGTTAAACGTCACTTCCTGTTGTCACTAGGTGGCGCTATGACTGTGGGTGAATGTCGGCATGTAGTTTTGTTCAAGGCGGGACTCTTGTCAAATGTGTAAAATTTCATGCATATCTGGGCAATTACAGCCAAGTTACTACAACTTCCTGTTTCACGGCGAATCATCGATGCCACGGACACGCCCATCGACGAAAACACGCAGATAGGACAACTTTACATCGTCAATACCTTTAGAAGGTACAGCAGAAATTTGAAGTTGATCCGACTAAATCCCTAGGAGGAGTTCGTTAAAGTACGGAGTGTGTAAATCGTCCCAAATCGGTCGCCAAATTCAAAATGGCGGACTTCCTGTCGAGTTTAGGGTATGGTTCTTGAAGCTTTTTTGTGCGTCTGGTCACGGTAGATGTACCACAGAAATTTCGTACATGTCAGTTAAACAAGCGGCGGGGACTGCTTCGTTAAAGGTAACTTCCTGTTGCCAGCAGGTGGCGCTATGACTGTGGGTGAATGTCGGCATGTAGATTTGTTCAGGGCGGGACTCTTGTCAAAGGTGTCAAATTTCATGCAGATCTGGGCATTTACAGCCAAGTTATTACAACTTCCTGTTTCATGGCGAATCTTCGACGCCACGGACACGCCCATCGACGAAAACGCGCAGATAGCACAACTTTACATCGTCAATGCCTTTAGAAGGCACAGCAGAAATTTGAAGTCGATCCGACTAAATCCCTAGGAGGAGTTTGTTAAAGTACGGAGTGTGTAAATCGTCCATAAATGGCCGCCAAATTCAAAATTGCGCACTTCCTGTCGAGTTTAGGGTATGGGTTCTTGAGGCTTTGTTGTGCGTCTTGATATGATACACGTCCCCACCAAATTTCGTGCATGTAGGTTGAACGTGGACGAGGGGCTAATTTTTTCCAATTTTCTAGGTGGCGCTAGCGTGCCATTTTGCCACGCCCATCCGCGAAACCCACAAAATACGAAATTTTTCACCAGTCCTGACATGCGTGCCAAATTTGGTGAGTTTTTGAGCATGTTGCGGCCCCGAAAATGGCGCTTACTTTGCAGAAAAAAGAAAAAAGAAAAAAGAAAAAAGAAAAAAAAAATAATCCTAACAGTTTCAATAGGGTCCTCGCACTGTTAGTGCTCGGGCCCTAAAAAATAACCCTAACAGTTTCAAGAGGGTCCTCGCACTGTTAGTGCTCGGGCCCTAATAATCCTAACAGTTTCAATAGGGTCCTCGCACTGTTAGTGCTCGGGCCCTAATAATCCCTCACAGTTTCAATAGGGTCCTCGCACTGTTAGTGCTCGGGCCCTAATTAAAGCTGCAAGCAGCGATGGGCGGGCCCTCGCACCTGTAGCGCGTCGGGGTGTGAGGCGGCCGCGTTGCATGTTTTGCAGCTCAGCCGGTGCGGTTGTGAATTTGCTACATTGCTTCATTAAAGGTCACTTCCTGTTGCCAGCAGGTGGCGCTATGACTGTGGGTGAATGTCGGCATGTAGATTTGTTCAGGGCGAGACTCTTGTCAAATGTGTACAATTTGGTGCAGATCTGGGCATTTACAGCCAAGTTACTACAACTTCCTGTTTCATGGCGAATCATCGACTCCACGGACACGCCCATTGAGGAAAACGCGCAGATAGCACAACTTTTCATCGTCAATGCCTTTAGAAGGCACAGCAGAAATTTGAAGTCGATCTGACTAAAGCCCTAGGAGGAGATAGCTTTTTGATGTAGACCTTGAAAATGGTATAACTGCTGTGATTGTGGTAACTGTAAGGGGGGCGGCCTACGAACTCCTCAGTCTTGAAGCTGACTTCTGCTGATGAAATGGCAAAGTATGTTCAGTAAAACTTTCTTTAATTTTTTATAATTCTGACTCCGGGTCTTCATTCTTCTTATCTGGTTCTGGGTCCTTACTGTTAACCCCTTACAATGGAAAGTTCAAGATCAAGTACTTTTGGGCCAGAAATATGTTCAGTAGGTCAATTATCTGTCTGGCTGAAATAACATGATAAGAGGTCATTCTGTATATGAGCTTAATTTTCAAGAACTCTTTGGCCAAAATTATATTCAGTAGGTAAAATAAGGACTCTTATGAGTCAATGAGTACACTGTAAAAAAAATCGTAATTTCAAAGAAAATAACTGTGATTTTTTGGCGATCATTTTAAATTGTACTCAAAACACTGTCAAATTACAAATTACAAAATAATATTATTATTTATAATATCTGTAAAATAAAAATGCAGCTGTTATTTTAGTTATTGTGACATTAATGACAAATTTCAGTCATTCACATTTTTTATATAGAAAATTAATTGTATTTTTCATACAGTATTTTTTCTGTTTTCTTAAATTGCATAAAATGTATGGAAAATTACAAATATAATTTGTAATTAAACAGTAACAAAACAATTAAATGATAAAACGGTTAAATGACTAGCCCCGTTTCCTTGGTTAAAATCTCAATTTTCTGGCAATTTAAACATTGTTTGAAACATTTGGAATATTGTAAGTTATCATCTTAACTAAATATATAACACTGGCCTTGTGATTTTGGGATATTTTAATGCAAACATCTTAGGTATTCCACCTTTAAGTTAACTGTTACTGTTATTATAAGCATACAGTAGGCTATCCAACAAAAATATTTGCAGTGAACAATGTTAGAATTACCCACCTACCCCAATGTGGACTTTGCTACTAAAAATACCTATAAACTAAGCCAAAAATCTTTGTTTTGTAAAAAAGTTTTGCTTCTGTTTTGATATCAGTTTAGGCCGGTTTAGGGCCCAAAGATTTCCGTGTGCAGCGCGCCCTCTGCCGTCTGCAAAATATCTCTTCAGTGTAACACAGCAACGCTGTTCCGTTTCCAAGCACAACCCCAAAGCAAAACAGTACTCTTCTCGCTACCGTTCATTGCAAATCTCTCAGTCGTGAACATCATTCCCACTTTATTTTCATTACAGTGCCTTCTGAGCCTTATGTTAACGCACTGTATTTAATTCTAGAGTCCTTTATTTTCACTCCTTGTCACGATAAAACTCCGCATCACCCTGCTGTAATGGTAAGTAGCTTAGCCAGCTAACATTAGCTAATCTGATGGGTAAGATAATAAATAATGTGTGTGGCTATATTTGACCAGTTTATTTGCATACGCGTTATTTCTGAGTAATAAATTGATGCAATCTAAAAACAAGCAGTTCAAGTGTGGGAAAATAATGAATACCCAGTAGTAATGCTTTAATGCCACTGAAACCAATAAATGCAATGTGAATTCAGTATAACACAATACTGATATATGTTCTTTATTATAAGCAATATCAAATGATAAGCTGTTCAGAAACCAGCGTAATTTGTGCGAAGGTAACGTTATAACGTGACACACGCACCCCACACCATTAATTCTACCCAAACGTATAATACACACGCACCCCACCCCATACCTAAACCTACCCTAACCAACCAATGCGTATAAATGCACGTAAAAACTCACTTTAGTGTATAAATTACACGACAATACACATGCGTGATATAAAGACGCATTTAGTGTGATCATTTATCACATGTAATTTGCATGTTTGAGATATTATTGTATTCATTTAATTGTGTAAATGCAAAATTTTAAATGTAAAACTCGATATGTAAGTCAGATTCAAGATTGTTTAAATTTCATAATCATAATATTCTTATAGCGCTTAGTACAGTGAGTTGGTGTTAAAGTGTCATTCAGCCAGAAGACGGCGCTAAGTTTTGCCGTATTTTGCCGTATGTGCAGTCTATGCAGTTTTCCTGCATAGACTGTTTTCTGCCACAAACTTTGTCTTTAAAGCTGTTTGCCAATAAAGAGATAGTTCACCCAAAAATGAAACCTCTGTCATAATTTATTCACTCTCATGTAGTTCCAAGCAGAAAACATTTTGAGGAATATGGGTTACCAGACTGGCCCAAGCCCCCTTTGACTCCCATAGTAGGAAAAAAAATACTATGGAAGTCAGTGGGGCCCATCAACTGTTTGGTTACAGACATTCTTCAAAATATAATCTTTTTTGTTCAACAGAAAAAAAGTAATTCATACAGTTTTGAAACAACTTGAGGGTGAGTAAATTATGATAGAATTTTCATTTTTGGGTGAACTATCAACTATCCCTTTAAATACAATATTCTGTGGCTTTCTCTATAGGCTGATTTTGGGTTTAATGAGCACCATCAGAATGAGGTGATAAACTACATGCGCTTTGCCCGCTCTAAACGGGCCTTGAGACTGAAGACAATCGACTCCTGCTTCCAAGACTTGAAGGACAGTAGGTGAGAGAATGCAAGCCTATGTCGTTTGTGTATTTGCAATAACTCTTTTAGTTTCCATCTTTAATTGTTCTCCCCCCCCCCCCCCCCCACACACACACACTAAAGGCTCATAGAGGAGACTTATACGGTGGACGAGGTGTCTGACATGCTTGACGGGCTGCAGGTGCTGGTGCATGGAGAAGTGGAGATGGAACTCATAAACACAGCTCACACTAACGTCCTTCTGCTGCGACAACTCTTTTCCCAGGCGGAGAAATTCTATCTGAGACTGCAAACAGACATTTCTGAGCTAGAGAATAGGTGAGTAAAAGGAATAAACAATTTATCGCTACTTCAATTTCATTGCAACTATTTAGAGGAGAAACAAACTAAATGTATATAAGTATAGTTAAAGTATTTTTCTTCTCACATAAAGGTTTCTGCAGTCCTTATTAAAATGTCTTAAATTCTTTAAAAATATGTAAAGGGCATATTGCAGATTTTTTTTTTACAAAATGAATGACCTTGTTGAAAATACCGTATGAAAATTTAATGCAGGATTTAAAATGTTGGGCGTTAAAATGTGAGACGTGAGGGCACAAATTTTGTAGAAAAAGTGAGTGTCCTTGACCAGTTTTAAAAATGTTTTTTCAAAATCGGTTATGTCACAAGAGGGAGTCGTTTGCCATGCTCTGTGTTGGCTCAATGCAGAGTAGGCAGGGCTGGATTAAGAGTTCAGAGGGCCCTGGGCACAATGTCTTGTAGGCCCCCTCTTAAGCAGGCCAAATGTATATTTTGTCCAAGGACATTTTAATATGACATTTACAGTTTTACTGACTTAACTTTGTTGAACTATGCTGGAGTAAAGTTCATAAATGGTTGTTCTTTCCTATAGGAATTTGTAAAAGTATGTTGGGTGGACCCTTAATTTAGCATTTACAGTTTTACTGATTTACTGTTCCTCTAGGGGGGTTCGGGGGCATGCTCCCCCGCAAGAATTTTTTTTACATTTTAAGGTTAAATGCAAAAATCCTGTGCTCTCTTAGAGATCAAAATTAAGAGCTTCAACCCATGAACTGCTCGTTGAACAAAGAAAAGGCATTGATTTGTACCAGGACAATAAACAGGGCTCAAACATCTTTTTAGTTGAGTCTCAGTCTACATTAAATTATCAATGGTGTTTTAGGATCCCAAACAATTATTATAATAATGTAATAATGATTGATATAATTATTCCTATGACGTAAAATCCATAAAGCTTATAAATGTACTATATAAATGAAAATTAATATTGCAAAAGCCTATATTTTAGTCTACATTACACTAATATAGGAAAATTAAAATACTTTTGTCCTTATTTCTTCACTTGCAAGAAATAAACCCTTTAGCTTGTATTTAGGAGAAAACACCAGATGACCATCCTGATCGCGTGAGCAAAGTGCACACTTTTCTTTAATTTACCCAGCACTGACAGGATGCATATTCTTAAAGTCTTGTGCTGTTTTATAAAGGCAAAAATCTATATCATGGTTTCGATTTTAGTTCGTTGGCAAAATATAATGCTAGAGACCTATGTTAGGTTATACATTTTACATCTCCTATGTGTTGGGAAAAGGGAGAAGAGACTTCGGCAAAAGGTGGATTCGAACTCGCGTCGAGCGCAACAAAACCTGACCTACGCCACTGTAGCTGTGACGTCACCGGCGTCTTTTTTCATAAAAGACAGGCACTTAGTGCAAACATACGTTCCGTTTTATCAAACTGTTCCTTGCGGCCTCGGTACACTACCGGCCCACCTGGGAAACTCCCGACTCTCCCGATTGCCACTGGTGTCCAGGGCCCCTTATGGCGCTTTTCCACTGCATAGTACGGTACGGTTCGGCGCAGTACGCTTCGACTCGGAGCGGAACAGTTCGGTTCCCTTTGCGTTTCCACTGCAGTAGTACCCCTACGTGTGTGGGACTGATCGTTATTTGCGCGCGCCTCTACTGCCATGACATCATCTTAAAAGCGCCACATTTTCAAACCCACAACACAGGAACAATGGAGACTATCGAGGGGATGGTGTTCCTGATTCTCGGTATGTGGTTGTTTTTAACTGCTAGACGGAAAAATGTGTTTAAAATGAGGCTGATGGCAGCAAAACAAAAATACTGCTAAAAAAGTGTCTCGTGTCTCGTGTCGCAAATCCAATGACGCTAGTAGTGACGCTGGTAGTGACGATTCTGTCTGACCAATCAGTGATCTGCAGTGTTTCACGTCACATTTTAGTACCGGTACGGTACGCTTGGAACCTCAACAGACCAGGTACCATTTAAAGCGTCCTGAAGCAAACCGTACTGTACCGTACCATGCAGTGGAAAAGCACCACAAGTGAGCCGTACCGAACCGAACCGTACCGTACTATGCAGTGGAAAAGCGCCTTAAGATGTCGTGGGCCCCTGGGCAAGTGCCCAGTTGCCCTAATGGTTAATCCGGCCCTGAGAGTAGGTTGATGTTCAGTATGTTGTTCACGGTTGTGAATCAATGTGTTTTCGGACACACATTAGGAGTGTTTCGACATCATCGGCTGTTCCATATACTTCCCGTAGTGACCGTTCACATTGTGTTTGCATAATTTATCACAGCTAAAGTGAAATAAATGCAATATTTGTCAAAAGCTCAAACATTTCAGATATGTTTCCATTTAATACTTTATTCTTGTACAAACAGACGTTGTATTTAGCAGTATATAATGTTCAACATAAGCCTTTACTATTTACAGTTTTTTTCAGTCGCTAACAAGCATTTGTCCAAACAGTTGTCACATTTTCAAAACTCTAAACACAATTAGCGCAGCATTGATCTTTTGTGGCCATATACCATTCACACATTTCATGTCGTTTTCACACAATATGCAGTCAATGAACACATTTCCACAATGCTTACATTTTCTTAACAGACAAGCTATACCTCCCAACAAAATTATGGATTGTTTTTGTAGTATTTACAAATGTTAACACACACCATACCAAAATAGCAAAAACAATACTCCAAACCTTAGATACATTATAAAAACAAAACAAAACAATTGAATAATTGACCCACAGCTTATTTATGTTGGGTAAATTGGGCAAACCACGGCTGTTTTCAGCCTGGCTTAGATTCAGTGGCAGGGGTTATTTTTTACATTGACACTTATACAGTAAAAGGAGGACTTTACAGTAAAAAGTAATGTTTTTGGAAACAGAAAAAGACAAACACTGTAACGTCTGGACGAGGAGAGTAAGAGCAAGGGGCCCAGGGAGAAGAGCAGGCCCAGTGAGATGTGCAGTGAGAGATGCAGTGAGAGGTGCAGTGAGAGATATGGTGAGAGGTGCAGTGAGAGATGCAGTGAGAGATGCAGTGAGAAGTGCAGTGAGAGATGCAGTGAGGTACAGTGAGAGATTCAGTGAGAGATTCAGTGAGAGGTGCAGTGAGAGGTGCAGTGAGAGATGCAGTGAGACATGCAGTGAGAGGTGAAAAAAACTGATTTGCTTTTTACTGGAATGCTTTTGAATGTGAACATTACTGTACATGTGGACATTTCCCAACCAAGAAATGTAGTGTAAAAACTGTGGATTGCATGTTTTTCATGCAAATACCTGTAAAACTGAAACATCAAAGTCTATGCAGTTTTTGTTATGTCAACAATAACCAGTATTTTGAAACCTGGGGCTCGTTCTTCGTACGTCGCTAACTCAGTTAGCTGGATTTGATTGTTGGCGATTTGCCATGATCTTGGATCGTTTGGTTCTTCGACGCTCATCCTGGACTTGCTGTCATAGCAACAGGTCCGTCAGCTTGAACCTGCTCGCGAGCAGGCTTATTTCATGTAAACAGGATTAGATCGCGGCTGATACGGGAAGTCCTTCAGCGCAGCGCGATAGTGTAGCTTAATTTCTGAGATTTATTTTTGTTTTCTCGTGAAACGATCGTCGTGAGGGTGTCGTTTAAATACATTATTATTTTGTTGGAAATCCACATTTATGTTCGATTCGATATCGGGCTTTAATAACAGCACAAAATGTTTGCATTGCCCTAAAATTATTTGCGAGTGGCTTCCTTTACACTATTGGAGATGCGGAGAACTTGATAAGCTTTCTGTCGTGCCATTCACAAAGTAGTGCTCTTAGTTTTTTTTTTTTTGCCAACTTAGGGTATATTATAATTTTTAATGAAGATAATACAATCATGATGACCATGCCGATTCTGACTTACAGTCCCTCAGGCTTAACTTACGTGATTGGTGCCATACACTGTAGACTGCACACATGTTCCCATCAAGGCCTCAATGAAGGGATTTTGTGAGCAGAAAGGGGGCTTATACAGTGCAGCCAAATTACTATTACAATTTTTAATATTCCAGATTTGGAATAATATATCACTTTTTTTAAAAGGCATTTGACTGAGTAAAATCTCTTAGTCAAGTCAAGTCAAGTCACATTTATTTATATAGCGCTTTTCACAATACAGATTGTATCAAAGCAGCTTCACAGTGATAACATGAAAGTAGCACAACACAGATCAACAACATTGCTAAACACTAAATAACCCCAACTGAGCAAGCTCAAAGCAAGCCAAAAGCAAGGCGACAGTGGCAAGGAACCAAACTCCATCAGATTGGATGGAGAAAAAACCTTGGGAGAACCCAGGCTCAGTCGGGGGCCAGTTCTCCTCTGGCTTACATTCATATTGTTTAAATATAAATATTAAGTATAAATATTGTTTATGAATCAAACGGCGCCATAACATATCGCAGGCGTTGAGTCGTCTCATCACAGGCGTTGAGTCGTCTCATCACAGGCGTTGGGGCATCCGAAATCCCCGTGAGAGGCTGGACACAAAACTGGACCTGACGAACGCCATTTTTCTCGGGACAAGCGTCCCGAGATAACAGCAGAAAGGCAGATGGGAAATAATTAGCATAGCTGATGTTCATAATGATTTCCGTTATAACTCACAAACTCTCCGTAACCCGAACTCTCCGCAACCCAACCATACGCGCCGACCCGTTTGTCTAAAAGGCTGTCGAGCCCCACTGGTGCGTTAAGCAGTTTCAGTGGCAAACGGTTCCGTATGGCATAACAGAGGACTAGAAGGTAAGCATTATGTGAATGCTTGACTAAAGAGATGCGTCTTTAATCTAGTTTTGAACTGTGTCAGCGAGTCAGAGGCTCGGACCGTATCGGGAAGGCCATTCCAGAGTTTTGGAGCTAAATGCGAGAACGCCCTCCCTCCTTTACTGGACTTCGATATCCTAGGAATGACCAGAAGCCTTGAATTTAGTGATCTTAAGGAAC